ATAGGGAACAAGTTGCCAGGTCTGATTTTGAAGCAAAGCATTAAACTCAGCATCCATGGCCTCACGCCACTCTGGATGCTTGACTGCCTGGGAGTAACACGTGGGCTCAGGTGGATCAACAGTAGACACCAAAGCCACATGCTCCTGTGGACCCCGGCTCCGTGTGGCCATAACATGAGAACGAGGACCAACCACCTTAGTCCCACGGCGAGGACGACCACGAGCCGGCCGACCGCGATCAGAAACTGTCTGCTCACTAGACACAGAGTCAGCCGGTACCGGATCCGAATCCACAACCTGTTTCTCAAAATCACTATCCACCACCTCGGTAGTAGGAGGAGGCACAAAAACAGAAACAACCGGAGCAACACCCCAAGGAGCAGCCGGGGGCCGAGAAACTACCTGCGAAGAAACAGAGCCAGCAAAAGGAAACATGGACTCATCAAATCGCACATAGCGACAGATAAAGACCTTATTAGTGTTAGGATTCAGACAACGATAGCCTCGAAAGGAGTCAGGATAACCTAAGAAAACACAGGGAGCCGAACGATATTCCAATTTATTACGATTATAGGGACGTAACAAAGGGAAACACAGACAGCAAAAAACACGCAAGAAAGAATAAGAGGGAGGTGAACGATGCAGCCGAAAATGAGGAGACTCATCGTTCAACACACGAGTAGGCACAGGACTACCTGTGACGAATAACAAGCGACTCAAAGTAGAGTGGAGCTTTTTGTACTCTCCCCCTAGATCAGACTGAATAGACACGATTTTGTGGGAATATGATCGCTCAACTAGTGACCGAAACCGTTCAAAGATAGAATAAATATCCGTTTTCGCACGCATAGGATAAAACCACACATAACGCGTAAAATCATCCACGAATAGAACAAAATAGCGAAAACCATTAACAGAGTACACAGGCGCTGGGCCCCAAATATCAGTATATATAAGTTCTAATACTCGAGTACTTGTAGTCTCAACACGAGGTAAAGAAAAACGGGAAGATTTCCCTAACTGACACGAAGAACATAAACGAGACAAATCACTAGAATTAAACGAACTAACACCGGATGTCTGCAATATCTGACGCAACACCCGTGTGTGTGGATGACCAAGCCGCTTGTGCCAAGTAGAGGACGACGCACGCGCAGCAACAAAAGCAGACGGACTCGAAGACACAGGCCACGAATATAAGCCACCGGAGGTACCCCCCTTAAAAACCACCTTCTTGGTCAAGAGATCCTTCACAAGAAAACAGTCAGGATGAAATTCAAAGAAGACATGGTTATCTTTAGCAAACCGCTGAATAGAAAGCAACGAAGATGACAACCCAGGAACATGTAGAACATCATTTAAACTAAACGACCTAGAAGAAGAAGCTATCGAAGCAGACCCAACACTAAAAATAGGCATACCTGCACCATTACCCACACGTAAGGTGTCCGGACCATCATAACGAGCCGAAGAAGTCAACATAGAGGAGTCGGGAGTAGCATGATTCGTGGCTCCCTTGTCAGGAAACCACTGATGAGACTCAACACCACCGTTCTCACCACCAGAAACAATCATATGCGCCTGAGGATCTGTGGTCTCAGAATATCGCTGGAAACAAGCCCGTGCTGAGTGCCCAAACTTTTCGCAAATCTGACACCGGACGTCCGACCGCCCACGGCCACGACCCCGGCCACCTCGGCCATGGCTACTACCGCCCGAGCCGCCACTGCCCGAGCTCCCACGATAGGACCGGCCGCCACCGCGGCCTCCTCCTCGGCCACGCGACGCCGCCATAGCAGTCAGGGCATCAGCATCACCACCACCCGGCGCACAAATATACTCCTGTGAAGTTAAATAATCAGAAAGCTCAGTTAAGGTTACCGGAGAGCCACGCGTCAGCGGAGCAACAAGAGGACGGAGCTCCGGTCGTAAGCCACGGAAAACGTAGAGATTCTGATCATCAAGCGTAATAACCCGGCCGGCCAGCGCCAAATCTTCAACCAGAACTCTCGCCCGACTCAAGTAATCGGAGACGGATGACGCCCCCTGGGACAGCCCCTGCAGCTCGCCGAGAAGCCTCAAAGCCCGGGAACGCGTCGCCGAGCCAAGCTCCTGCTCGATCGCCGACCATAGAAGCCGCGACGTGGAGCGACCGATCGCCATGGGTAGCATCTCGTCGGACAAGGACGAAATCAACAGAGAAAGGACAGCCTTGTCCTGCCGGCGCCATTGCTGCTGAAGCGAAGCCAGATCAGACGGCCGGACGCCACTGTCCGCCGTCGACTCCACAGGCACGGACGGCGGCAGTGCTGGCGTCGGACATGGCAGTGTGCCATCAACAAATCCAAGCAACCCCTGGCCTTCCAAGAACGGCAACATCTGAGTACGCCAAAACAAATAATTGTGGGCGGTAAGCTTGATAGACACGAAGTGATGGGCGGAGGACAGACTAGTATTTGGGTAAACGGGAGTGGGGGCAACCTCGGACACAGTCCGTTCAGATGAATCGCGAACAGAACCGCCATTGTTACCTCCCAAGGTTGCCATGAAAATAAGAATCCCTGGATACTGATACCAGATGAGAATTGTATATTCAACGTAACAGAATAATAGTCTGAACAATAACAATATAAGGAGATAAGTAAAGAGTCCTAGCCAACTACTAACACAAGAGTCCTAACAATAATAATAGAGTCCTAATAATCTTAACCTAATTGATTTTGATTTTTGGATTTATCAGTTCGCATCCACAAATAATTTTGAGAAAAATAAAGCAGTAAAATTATTTTAAAATATAAGATACAATATAAGACGGTATTTAAAAGAGTAAAATTGAATAAAATAAATTATTCAAAAATACAACATGAAAACACAATCTCATATGAAATCGGATCAAAACCGAGAATTAACTAAATCGAAACAAAAAAAAAAAAAATCAAAATATGTAACAAATTGCAAAAAGTAACAACTTTTAGTAAAATTGCACTTGTTTATAGAAGTTTTAATTTCTGTTTTTATTTTTTAATTAACAAGGCTTATGAAATTATTAATTCCTTAAAATGCCCTTCACAATCCATAAGTACCACTCCTACCATAGTCTTCTAAGAAAACGCGTAAAACAATTTTTTTTCCACATATTTCGTTTTCTATCACGGAATTATCAAATTGCCAAAGTCTTTGGCAATTAATTTCAAGATGATAGGAATCTTTCTTTCCAAGTTGATAGGAATCTTTCTTTCCAAGTTGATAGGAATCATAAAGCTATAGAAAGATAGAGAAAGCTTTATCATGTAAGAAGAATACAAAAATGTGTACATAGTGGAGTAACTTGAATGTGAAAGTGAAAGTTTAAGTTGCAGCATGAAAATTCTTTGAAAATAAAATTATTAGGACTCTGTGTATTCTAACATACAACACAAAGAATTAATACTGCCCCCACCAAGGCTAGATCTCATAACCTCTCACATGGAAGAGATCACTACATATCATCTAAGCACAAAGTGCTTGATGCATACACAACATTTTTATTTTAAATAAAATGCATAAAACAAATAAAGAGTAAACTTTTTTCCACATATTTCAATTGATTTCCTAGCATGGAATTATGAAATTGTCAAAGTCTTTGGCATTTAACAAGGATAAAGGGATATGCTCAATTTTCTTAGATTATGATGGCTTCCAAAAATGAAATACGAAGTTACGAAGAAATATCACAATGTGTAATTATCTTTGTTTTAAATTTCTTTATGATATTTTACTTTAAAAAATGACTTTTAAAAAAAATCAATTGTAAATTCTTACTAACCTTTTTCATTCTATTCCATCGTTATATTTACTTTCATTTTTCGTTTTCAATTTGCTAAGTCACCCAAGTCTAGGCTAGAACAATCAAATTGGAATTATGTTTCCACCTACATTCTCAAAGCATGGGCTTAAATATTGGAATAAAATTCAATTATCAATTAATTTATGCTTATGTAGTTTCTCAATAAAATAAAATTTCTGTGAGTTTTTTTTTTTTTTTTTTTTTTTTTCAAAAAACAAAATTATAAAGAAGAAACTTTAGAGAGAGTTTAACAATCAAAATATTGATGGAACTAATTGATTCGGAGTATGTGTTACATGGATCAATAAGCTCGCATGGAATACAAAAAGTGGCAAAATGACAAGGACAAATGTAATTGCAATAGTATTTCCTTGATAGATGTAGGAAAATTACAACAACACGTTTGGTTCACGAAATGAATTTGGAGGGAATAGGAATGCTATTCCACAGGGAATAGAATATGTAAGGAATAAAATAGAAATTGTATTCTATTATTTGGTTCACAGAAGGAATACACTTTAATAATTCTATTCTAGTGTTTGGTTGGTTAAAGGAATATAAATGTAATAGGTTTTAAAGACATAAATACCCTTATACATAATAATAATAATAATAATAATAATAATAATAATAATAAATATAATTATGATATACTGAATGTTATATATATATATATATATATATATATATATATTATTTATTTATTTATTTATTTATATTTATATACATGTGTGAGAGAGAGAGAATAACAACAACAACAACAACAACAACAACAACAACAACAACAATAATAATAATAATAATAATAATAATAATAATAATAATAATAATAATAATAATAATAATAAATATTATATATTATTATTATTATTATTATTATTATTATTATTATTATTATTATTATTAGTATTGTCGTCGGCGGCGACGGCGTCGTCGTTGTTAGACTATGGTTTTAATATATTATTTGTTATGTAGCTTATAATATATAGTTGTGTAATTCTGTTAGAGATCTAGTCTTATGCCTTTTAGATAGTTCTCTCTCCTGAGAGTATATGTGTAATCTGAATTCAGTTACTGAATGATTAATCCTTTCCACACTCATCTGGTATCAGTTAGCCAATAGGATCCTGTGACTCAATTTTTTTTTGTTTTCTCTCTCCTCTCTTTTTCGAAAATGTCACAGAGTTCGGAGCGTACACTCACCATCACCACCGTATCTTCCCCAAACACCAACCCCAATTCCCTCCCAAGTGCACATCATTTTGTGTCACTCAAACTTACGCACCGGAATTACCTTTATTGGAGAACCCAGATTATTCCTTTTTTGCGTGGACAAAGACTGTTGGGATTCATCGATGGATCTCGACCGTGCCCGTCGCCCGTGCTTGAGGTTTCCGCCGGCGACTCTTCGGATGGCACTCCCACCACCGTCATTAACCCGGCCCATGAGGCTTGGATAGAACAAGATGCCTCCATCTTGTCTTTACTGATTTCTTCAATTTCAGAAGAAGTCATGTACCTCACGCTTGGACAGACCACATCGCGTGAGGTGTGGCTTGCGACGGAAACAGCCCTGGGGTCATCATCGCAGGTGAGATGTCTCAATCTCATGGGGCAGTTCCAGTCCTTGCGGCAAGGTGACGCCTCCACGCAAGAGTACCTTGGCCGGGCACAACATTTGGTAGAAGATCTTGCGCTGGCTGGACGGACAATGACATTATCGGAGCAGAATTTATATGTTTTCCGGGGGTTGCGAACGGAATTCCGGTCCATGGCAGCCTCCCTGGCGGTCTCCGGTACACCGGTGACGATCCCGCAGTTAGCCGACTATTTACAGGCGCAACAGTTCATCCATGAGGATGACTTTCCAGTTCAACAATTGGGAATGGCGAGTGGACAGCAGTCGGCTCTGTATGCTGGCCGCGGCAGGTGGCAGAACGGCGACGGTTCTCAGCGCGGTGGCCAGTCGCGTGGGGGAGGTGGCCAATCCCGTGGCGGCGGGAACCGGCGCGGCGGTCGTGGCCGTGGAAATCAGCGAGGTGGTGGAGTCCGCTGTCAGATCTGCCGATCTCAGGGACACTCTGCGGCTTTCTGTTATAAGCGTTATTCCGAGCCACCACCCTCCCAGGCTCACGTAGCAGTCGCCGGCAATGGAAGCGTCCCGGCGGTGACATCCTGGCTGCCGGACACGGGAGCGTCTGCCCATGCCACTCCTGATTCCGGCGCTCTCGGGCAGTCCACAGAGTATCACGGAGACGAGGTTCTAAGAGTGGGAAACGGCTCAGGTTTGGTGATCTCGCGTGTTGGTTATGCAGTTATTCCTTCCGTTTCCAAATCCTTAAAACTGTATAATATTTTACATGTCCCTGAACTCTCTGTTTCATTATTATCGGTCAATCGTTTCACAAAAGATAACAATTGTTTTTTCGAATTTCATCCTAATTTTTTTGTTGTGAAGGATTGCACCACGCAGGCAGTACTTCTTAAGGGACCAAGTTTCGGGGGCTTATACTCGCTATCAATTCCGAAGTCACATTACGCGTTCGTCTCGGCTCGTGCCTCTTCCCTGGTCTGGCACCAGCGTCTCGGTCACCCACATGGTCAAGCCTTGCAGCGTATCTTGAAAAATTGTCCCGTTGAGTCAAATAAAAGTGTAATGCCCGCATTATGTAATCCGTGCCAATTAGGAAAATCGTCCCGCTTTCCTTTAGATAGGGTTATTAAATCAAGTAATAATGTACTCGATCTCATTTACACTGATATTTGGGGTCCTTCGCCGGTCCTTTCGGCGGATGGCTCGCGTTATTTTGTATTGTTCGTAGACGATAATACTCGCTTTTGTTGGTATTATCCTCTGCGAATCAAAACAGATATTTATAAAATTTTTGAGCTTTTCCGGACGATGGTAGAACGGACGTTTTCACGTTCTATCAAGTCCATCCAGTCTGATTTGGGAGGGGGGGGGGGGAATATCAAAAGTTACACAAAGTCTTTTCATCCTTAGGAATTGTGCACAGGCAATCATGTGCCTATACGCACGAACAAAACGGGCGTGTAGAACGCCGGCATCGGCATATTGTCGAGACCGGCTTGGCATTGATGGCCCAAGCGTCTATCCCGTTCCGTTATTGGGATCACGCGTTTGAAACTGCCACATTTCTTATCAATCGTCTTCCGTCAGCCTCACTCCAGTTTGATACACCCCACTACCGCCTTTATCACGAACCACCTAATTACACGTGGCTTCGTGTGTTTGGCTGTCTATGCTTCCCTTATCTACGCCCGTATAACCGACATAAAGTCGAGTACCGGTCAAGCCCGTGTGTCTTCTTAGGTTACCCTCCATCTTTTAGGGGTTACCGCTGCATGAGTCTACACACCGGGAAAACCTATATCTGCCGCCACGTCCGCTTTGATGAAACTAACTTTCCTTTTGCAACAGTTGGTTCTTTTCAGGCAAATGGCGTTCCATCCGAGCCCAATGCACCATGGGCCTCCAGTCCCGTTGCTCATCACGGTGACGAGACTGCCCCGGCTCTTCCACCGCCTAACCCTATAGGTGAATCTCAGCCTGAGCCCCAAGCTTACGCTCGGACCCGGCGTCGAGCTAAAGATAGGCCACAAGAGCGGAATCATGTAATGCGTCTACGCCACCAGACTCGGGGAGCCGCAGAGGAGTTTCATGCTCTCACTGCGTCAATTCCTGATCCTACTTGCTACTCGCAGGCAGTTGGGCATTCCCACTGGCGAGATGCAATGGATCAAGAGTTTAATGCGTTACTACATAACTGTACATGGCAGCTGGTTCCTGCCACATCAGACATGAACATAGTAGGGTGCAAGTGGGTTTTCCGCACCAAACGGAAAGCTGATGGTACTATCGAGCGCTATAAGGCTCGCTTAGTGGCCAAAGGTTTCAATCAGGTCGCAGGGGAGGACTTTTTTGAGACATTCAGTCCAGTGGTCAAACCCACCACAGTCCGGATTTTATTATCTCTAGCCGTGTCACGCGGGTGGACTCTACGGCAATTAGATGTCCATAACGCCTTTCTTAACGGCCGTCTGTCCGAGACTGTATATATGCGGCAACCTCCAGGGTATGAGGACCCTGATCGCCCAACTCATGTTTGTCACTTACAGCGTTCTCTGTATGGGTTGAAACAGGCGCCACGGGCCTGGTTCAAACGTCTACACGACTTTTTGCTCCATACAGGTTTTGTAGCTTCGAAGACCGATGTCTCCCTATTTCACTACTTGGAGGGAGACTCAAGGGTATTCCTTCTTGTCTATGTCGATGACATCATCATGCTAGGGGATGATGATGTCCTTATTGATCGTTTGTTGAGCAAGCTGGCTACAGCCTTCAAAATTAGAGATCTTGGTACGCCAACGTTCTTTTTGGGTATAGAGACGCTACGGGTTCCCGAGGGCATGCTACTCACTCAGCGTCGTTACATGCATGATATCTTACAGTGAGCAGGCATGGCTGATTGTAAGCCTCTTGCAACCCCAGCATCAGTCTCCCAGCCAGTCAGTCAGTCATCTAGTCTGTTTGACAATCCGACGCAATACAGACGCTTAGCCGGGGCCCTACAGTATCTTACCATTACTCGTCCAGATTTATCATATTCTGTTAATCGTCTTTGTCAATTCATGCATTCGCCTACAGATGAACATTGGGGACTGCTGAAGCGTGTACTCCGCTACATACGGGGTACCCTGGACTATGGTCTTCGTATTACCGCCTCAGTTTCATCTGGAATTCAGGCTTATTCCGACTCCGATTGGGCTGGTTGTCCAGTTGACCGAAAGTCCACCAGTGGGTATGCCGTGTTCTTAGGGACAAATCTGGTCTCGTGGGTCTCTCGCAAGCAACGCACCGTGGCGCGGTCTTCTACAGAAGCCGAGTATAAGGGTCTGGCTGATGTCTGTGCTGAGGTCACCTGGGTTGTGTCTCTCCTCCGTGAGCTTCGCTTGGGTCCGACAGCTCCACCGACGTTATGGTGTGATAACCTTGGGGCCACCTATCTGTGTGCAAATCCCGTGTTTCATGCCCGCACTAAACACGTCGAGGTGGATTATCATTTTGTTCGGGATAAGGTGTCTTCAGGAGATTTGCAGGTTCATTTTGTGTCTACTAAAGATCAGCTTGCGGACATATTCACCAAGCCACTACCAGCAGCTCGCTTTGGGGTTCTACGCAGCAAGCTCAATGTGTCGTCACATCCACCTTGTGCTTGAGGGGGAGTGTTAGACTATGGTTTTAATATATTATTTGTTATGTAGCTTATAATATATAGTTGTGTAATTCTGTTAGAGATCTAGTCTTATGCCTTTTAGATAGTTCTCTCTCCTGAGAGTATATGTGTAATCTGAATTCAGTTACTGAATGATTAATCCTTTCCACACTCATCGTCGTCATCATCATCATCCCTTATTTAGGAGCTTATAGTTTATTTTAAGCTACTAATAAGCTATAAGCTCTGTTTGGTAACGTTTCCAAAATAAGCTCCTAGCTTTCTAACCTTTTTTTTTTCATCTTTATCCTTATTATTTTAAAGAAATGACATAATTTATCCTTCCCAATTAAAACTTTTCTATCTTCTCCTTTATCAGCAACTTTCACCGCAAATATTATTATTATTATTATTATTATTATTATTATTATTATTATTATTATTATTATTATTGTTATTGTTATTGTTATTGTTATTGTTATCGTTATCGTTATCGTTATCGTCGTCGTCTTCGTCGTCGTCGTCGTCATCATCATCATCGTCGTCGTCGTCGTCGTCATCATCATCATCATCATCATTATTATTATTATTATTATTATTATTATTATTATTATTATTATTATTATTATTATTATTATTATTATTATTATATTTGCAACAATATTGCTACTTCATTATGAGATGCTAGATCATGATTATGCTAATAGTTTTATTTCAAAATGTTAATTTTTTTTAAAGACAAAATGTTAAATTTTAATATGTAAAGAAACTAATTTAAATTTTATGAAGATGTCCTTTGTAGTCTTTTTTGCATTTATCAGCTTATCAAAAAGCTAATTTTACCAAACACTTTCAATCATAACAGCTAGCTTAACCGCTCTTCAGTTTTCAGCTCCGAGCTTATAGCTTTTCAGCTTTCAACTCCATTTCAGCTTTCAACTCCTAGCTTATAACTTTTCAGCTAGGTTTGCCAAACAGAGTCATATTGGTGCATGTGTGTACACACACACACACACACACGCACACACACACACACACACACACACACACATATATATATATATATATATATATATACACACACACACACACACACACACATATATGATTTACTATTTATAGAAATTTAATTAAAATATAATCAACAATTAAAGTAATTATATAATGATTTTAATAAAATGATAATTAAAGAATAGGAAAAAGATATCATAGATAATTAGATATATGTGTATGATAATAGTGATAGAATTATGAAAGTTTTAGAATTAAATAGTAACGGTGTTATAACGGTATAAACGTATTTTAGTTTAACAAAAATATAGTAGGGACAATTTTGTCCATTACAATTGAAGTGTACAACATTTAATAAAAAATGTATACCTTTATTAACATACAAATGTAAGCGTTGACACAGATGTGTTTATAACTTAATGGGTAAAGTTCTTGATTTTTGACTTGGTGGTCAAGGGTTCAAACCTTACTTTGGACACTTAATACATGTATATATTTATTATATATATAACCGATCGGTGGAATTATGAAATTGTCAAAGTTTTGGCATTTAAGAAGGATCAAGGGATATGCTCCATTTTCTTGATTATTGAGAAAATTACCGATTTGGTCCCTCGACTATGAGGATTTCACCAATTTGGTCATTGACTACTAAAATTACTCAATTTAGTCCTCGACTATGACATTTTTACCTGATTTGGTCCTAAGTGTTATTTGCAGGTCAAACCTAAAATGCAATTTTGGGATCTAAAAAAAGTATCTTCCTTCTTATTCCTTAAATCTAAGTTGTTTGTTTTATATAGGTAGGTTATTTGTTTTCGATAGCAGTCGCAGCTTCAATATGCAACCAAAGTGCAGTGAATCATCTTCATCCAGCTATAAAAATCGAATGATGTTCGAAAATGGAGATGCTTATAGCTGGATGAAAATGATGTTGGCACAAGACAGCAAATTTTTAAACATCATTCGATTATTATAGTTGGATGAAGATGATTCACGACACTTTGGTTGCATATTGAAGCTGTGACTGCTATCGAAAACAAATAACCTATCTATATAAAACAAACGACTTAGATTTAGGGAAGAAGAAGGAAGATACTTTTTTTAAATCTCAAAATTGCCCTTTAGGTTTGACTTGTAAATAACACTTAGGACCAAATCAGGTAAAAATGTCATAGTCGAGGACCAAATTGAGTAATTTTTGTAGTCGAGGACCAAATTGGTGAAATCCTCATAGTCGAGGGACCAAATCGGTAATTTTCTCCTTGATTATTGATTATGATGGCTTCCAAGAAGAGCAAATTACCAAAATGGTCCCTCGACTATGTTGATTTCAACAATTTAGTCCTACTCATTTTGATTTCTCTAATCAAATCCTCCGACTATTAAAATTATAACCATTTTAGTCCTCCGGTGACTTGGATGACATATTTTGAGGGATATTATTGGAAGTTCACTGTATTAGTCGTTGGTCCTCCGTTCACCGGCTATTTGTTCGTTCCGGTGTGTGTTATGCCGGAAAAGGGAAGAAGACTGCAACCCATTCGCCGGAGCCGTCGGTTTCTCGCACTCTTGGCTCGCAAGACACCTCCGATGAGGTTCAAAGGCCTGGGCAGGGTGCACTTCGGGGTCCACACAATTTTCAGAAAACTCCTGCCCGCTTTGCCAACCCGTTCCTTACTACTATGCTCGAAGGGGAGGACTGTCGTATCCAGAAGTTTGATTGTAATTGCGTTGCAAAGATTGGTTCGACCGATTTGTTGGAGGTTGAAGATGAGCCGATGTTCAGTCTCCTTGGCAGGTTTGCTGGCCGCTTCTTGGGCATGAAGGCTGTTGAAGATTTGGTGGCCAACTAGAAGGTAAAATGCAAACCGGATGCCCTTTTTAATGGTCATGTTCGCTTTTGGTTTGTGAAGGAAGCTGACAGGGATGACATCCTCTCCGGTGGTCCTTACGCTCTTTTTGGTAAGCGGCTATTCCTCCGTCTCCCGCCGGCGAACTACCGGGGTTACGAGGAGTACAAATTCCTGCCTGTTTGGGTCCGACTACCTGGGTTACCGAAGGTCTGTTGGCATGAGAATGCTCTTGGAATCATCGCGTCCTGCTTTGGTGAATCTCTGTTTCGTGACCGGGTGACGAAGGAAATGAAGAGGATGGCGAACACGGTCAGCTTTTCTTGCAGTGGTGAATTAAAGCGCCAAATATTACGATTCAGCGAGAATAATTGCGAAGTTACTAAACTACCCTTACCATCGCCGGAAGTTGGTCATCCAAGTCACCGGAGGACTAAAATGGTTAAAATTTTGATAGTCGGAGGATTTGATTAGAGAAATCAAAATGATTAGGACTAAATTGGTGAAATCGACATAGTCAAGAGACCATTTTGGTAATTTGCTCCTTCCAAGAATGAGATACGAAGTTACAATGAAATATCACAATGTGTGATTATCTTTTGCTTTCAATTTTTTTTTTTTTTTTTTTTAAAAATTTCCTTCATAAATGACTCTAAAAAAAAAAAAAAAATCAATTGTAAAGTCTTATTAACTTTTCCATTCTATTAACCTATCCCATCGTTTTATTGGAATTTTGTTTCCACCCACGTCTAGGCTAGAACAATCAAATTGGAATTTTGTTTCCACCCACATTCTCAAGACATTTTGGAAAGAGATAGTCTTGGTGCATGCTGGGAGAAAAGAGTTTTGACCAGTAAATATCTAACATCTAAATAAATCTAAAATTTTAATATAAACTATTAATATTGGGCACTTATTTTTGCACAACGTGTATAAAATACTAATAATAATAATAATAATAGTCAAAAGCCTTGTGGTTGAGCGGTATAATTATGGCTCTCTCATTGACTCTTTGTACTTTAGTAGGTTGAGAAAATATGTATGAACAAATACTACGTTACAACAGAGTTAGTAGGCTCTGTTTGGCAGAGCTTATTTAGGAGCTTATAGCTTATTTTAAGCTACTAATAAGCTATAAGCTCTGTTTGGTAATGTTCCTAAAATAAGCTCCTAGCTTCCTAACTTTTTTTCCATCTTTAACCTTATTATTTTAAAGAAATGACATAATTTACCCTTTCCAATTAAAACTCTTTTCTTTTCTCCTTTATCCGCAACTTTCGTCGCAATTATTATTATTATTATTATTATTATTATTATTATTATTATTATTATTATTATTATTATTATTATTATGAGATTTACAACAATATTGCTACTTCATTATGAGATGCTAGATCATGATTATGCTAATAGTTTTATTTCAAAATGTTAAATTGTAATATGTAAACAAACTAATTTAAATTTTATGAAGATGTCCTTTTTAGTCTTTTTACATTTATCATCTTATCAAAAAGCTAATTTTACCAAACACTTTCAATCATAACAGCTCTCCAATTTTCAGCTCCGAGCTTATAGCTTTTCAGCTCTCAGCTCCTTTTCAGCTTTCAGATCCTAGCTTATAACTTTTCAGCTAGATTTGCCAAACTGAGCCGTACTATAAAAAAACAAAAAAAAAAAAACAATCAAATTAGAATTTTGTTTCCACCCACATTCTCAAAGCATAGGCATAAATTTTGGAGAAAAAAAATCAATTATCAATTAATTTATGCTATTGCATTTTCTCAATAAAATAATTTTGTGTGAGTAATTTTTTTTTTTTTACAAAAAAAAAAAAAAAAAAAAAAAAAAGAAGAAGAAGAAGAAATTTTCAAAAAGAGTTTAACAATCAAATTATAACTAAGTGGCTTGTAGTCCACTGGTATTTGGTTGGCCTTTTATGTGGGATGTCTTAGGTTCAAGCCTTCCTTTGTAATATATAAAAACTACTCCGTATTTTACACAAAGTATAACACAGATTTAGTAGCGATACTATCTATTAGGACTCTATGTATTTGAATTAGTCTCTCTATGATTTCCTATCCTAGCTAGTTTCTCTATGATTCTCCTTGTATATATACCTATGATCTGTACCTTTGTAATTATATTCATTCAATACAATTCTATCCGTTCTCATCTGGTATCAGTTAAGCTAGGTTTCTTTCCTATGGCTAATGGATCTGTTGACTCCTCGGAACGGACCGTCTCGAATGTCGGTATCTCTTTGGTCACATCAACAGTGAATTCCTTGTCCACCGCTCATCACTTTATCAGTATCAAACTGACCTACAAGAACTTCCTGTTTTGGAGAGTTCAAGTTGTTCATTTTCTTCATGGTCATGATTTGATGAGGTTCATTGATGGTACGAACCCGTGTTCGCCAGCTTATCTCCCCACGGTAGAAGGTGTGTCGGTGCAGCCAGATCCCGCTCATAGAGCTTGGGTTTGACAAGATCAGGCTCTCTTGTCCATGATCATGTCCTCATTGTCCGACAAGGTAATGCCGCTGGCTATCGGACACCACACCAGCCGGACTGTTTGGGAGGAAGTCGTCAATGCGCTGGCTTTGTCGTCCAGGTCTCGGTGCTTGAATCTCATAGGGCAGCTTCAGTCCCTTTAACAAGGAGATAGTTCAGTTGCAGACTACGTCGGCAAGGCACGGATCTTGGTGGAAGACCTCACTCTTGCCAGCCGGTAGATTACCCTTGAAGAGCAGAATCTCTATGTTCTCAACGATTTACGGCCGGAATTTCTCTCTCTGGCATCCTCCCTTAATGTACGCAAACAGCCAGTGACGCTCTAGGAGCTTGCTGGCCTCCTTGGCGCAGAGGAGTTCATCTTGGGTGGTGGTCCAGGCAGTGGTTCGCCGACTGCTTTTACAGCGCAGCTGGGCGGATAGCAACGTGGTCGAGGCGGCCAATCACGTGGAGGAGGCGGCCACAACTCCGGCCAGAACATCGGAGATAATTTCTAAACCGTAGATTCATAATTTAAATATAGTAGATTCATAATTTCTATACAGTAGATTCATAATTTACTTTAAATTCATAATATCAATACTGTAGATTCATAATTTCTGTACTGTAGATTCATAATTTCTAAACTGTATAGTTATCAATTTATGAACATATAGTTATGTGATTTGTGAATACAGATCGAGTTCAACAATTGGGAATATGAACATCGAAAATTATGAATATATAGCTCTATAATTATGAACATATATTTATAAAATTATGAATCTACAATATAGAAATTATGAATTTAGACCCATGTGCAACATGGTTGCACATCATAATTTGCCGGAATGAGGGGCTTGGGCACTGGGCAATGATATGCTAAATCCTCACCAATCTACAAAATTATCTAAATTCCTTCCTAATCTCATCGACATCTACTTAAAGTGAACTAAAATTCTATTTCTTTTCTTTTTCTTCTTCTAATAAAATTTAGAAATGTGGTTAGAATTTTATTCTTGAGAATACACAATATTTTTTAAAAAAACAAATGCATAAAACAAAAAACCAAAAAAAAGAGTAATTTTTGTCCACATATTTCATTTGATTTCCTAGCATGGAATTATGAAATTGTCAAAGTCTTTGGCATTTAAAATGGGTCAAGAGATATGCTCCATTTTGTTGATTATGATGGCTTCCAGAAATGAAATATGAAGTTACAAAGAAATATCACAATGTATGATTATCTTTGCTTTCAATTTCTTTAGGATTTTTTACTTCAAAAATGACTTTAAAAAAAAAAAATCGATTGTAAATTCTTACTAACTACTTTATCATTCTGTTACATGCTAAGTCAGCTAGGCCTAAACGGAGCGTTATGCCATCCAACGGTGTTAGTACACCGTTATCTTTTTTTTTTTTTTTTCTTAATTAATCGCGTGACTTTTCTTCTTCATTTTCACATTTTGCGGTTTCACTTTAATTTGAGGTGAACAATGATTTCAGACATTCATAAATTATGAATTCATGCCTGCACATTCACTTTGGAACCATGCCTACACATTCCCGTCCGAAATCACGGACATTCATAAATTATGAATCCATGCCTGCACATTCACTTTGGAACCATGCCTACACATTCACTTTGGAACCATGAGATTATGAATTTTCTGTTATAAGATTATGAATTTTCTGTTATGAGATTATGAATTTTCTGTTATGAGATTATGAATTTTCTGTTATGAGATTATGAATTTTCTGTTATGAGATTATGAATTTTATGAAAATTCATAATCTCATAACAGAAAATTCATAATTTGATCAACGCGCGCCGTTAACTCCACATCCGCGATTTTTTTTTTTTTTTGCCTAAAAACGACGTCGTTTGGCCTTGTGTTCACCATTCTCGGTGAACACGTTTCCAGGGCATAATTTGCCGGCCTAAACTAAAACAATCAAATTGGAATAAACTAAAACAATAAAATTGGAATTTTGTTTCCAGCCACATTCTCAAAGCATAGGCTTAAATTTAAGTTTTGGTCATGGTCATTCAACTGGGCTATAATGCACATGGGCCAAATCACACTAAAAATTTGAATCCAACAAATTAGCTAGTCTAACCCATGACCTTATAAACCCATATGTTCTCTCTTATTTTATAGATGTGGGACTCTTAAGAGAGAAAAATTCAAATATCAATTAATTTATGCTCATGTAGTTTCTCAATAAAATAAAAATTTTGTGAGTTCTTTTAAAATAAATAAATAAAGAAGAATAAACTTTGGAGAGAGTTTAACAATTAAAATATAAAAAACTATTTTACACGTGGTCTTATGAATTGGGAAATAATACATTTGCTAGTATAATACAAATTTAGTAGTCATACAATAAACAATAAGTAAAATTTATAGTATATAATTTTATAAGATCAGAGATATTCATTAATCCATTTCAGATATAATTTCTAGTGCACTAGTGAACAGTCTCCCTGGCTTGTTAGCTTTAGCTTTTGATGGATCAGTGGAAGTAAAAGGATTGGGTGGCATGGAGGGAGGCTCCTCAGCTTCAAGCATCTGAATCACAACCTTTATTGAAGGTCTATCCACAGGATACCATTGAATGCACCAAAGTCCCACTATTGTCAGTTTCTTTGCAATTTTGGAATCCTCCCCTTTCTCTATTTGGATCTCTACTTCTTCTCCCCTACTCAGGATATTGTAAATCCATTCAGGGAAATAGTCTTGGTTTGTTTCAGGTGATCCAGTAATGTCACTCTTTTTCTTTCCCCCCACCATTTCGAGCAAAAGCATTCCAAAACTGTAAACGTCTGACTTATACGAGACATTCCCAAAGTTGCGAGAGAAGACTTCTGGTGCAATGTAGCCCATGGTCCCTCTTGCAGCAGTCATGGAGACAATGCTCTTCTCCTTGGAGCACAACTTTGCTTGACCGAAATCAGAGATTTTCGGGTTGAAATTCTGGTCCAGCAATATGTTACGAGGTTTAATGTCAAAATGTAGTATCCTTTGATCACACCCTTGGTGAAGATACTCAACTCCTTTGGCTATGCCCAGAGCAATCTGTTGCAATTTCTCCCAACCAAGGAAATTTTTGTCATTTGGTGAAAACACAAACTTTTCAAGAGAATTATTCACTAAATATTCATAAACAAGAGCTCGATGGAACCCATCTGCGCAATAGCCAACCAATCGGACCACATTGATGTGGTGTATGCTTCCAATTGTGCTCATTTCATTGACAAACTCTTCCCCATCTCCATCTCCTTTGGAATTATTGAGGACCTTAACAGCAACAAAAACATCACCCGAAAGCTTCCCTTTGTACACTGTACCATAGGAGCCTTCACCTAATTTTTCACTAAATCTGTCTGTAATTTTCTTGATATCTGCATATGAATACCTTGCTGGTTTTAGAGCCTTATAGTCCTCCAAGAACCTTTCAATCTTCACTTGCTCCTCTTTCTTCATTTTATTCAACCTATAAATACGGTAGGTGACAAGAACGATCACCACAACAAGAAACGAACCAAGAACTTCACCTGCAAGCATATTCAGGCACTACATTGTTACTGTTAGCCTTAATGATCAGATCATTCTAAAAGAAGCTTCACCTCTGAACAAATGAATAGACAGATTAAAGCTAAGGGCTGATTAAAGTTTCACCTGCAACTTTCAATTTTCTCAGTGGACCTGTATGTAATTTTGTCAATGGAGCTGTATGTGAAAGATAACACAAAATTAGTTGGTATTCAAGTGAAAAATTTGATTGATAAGAAAATTAAACCACTTACTGAATTTGGGGCTTTACTTACTGTAGGATACTCCAAAAATGAGCAATAAAATTACAGAATATACTATATATATTTATTGTCAATTAATCTAGAAAGAAAGAAGCTAAGCATCAGGTGGGTGTGGGTAGAATTAGAATTGGTTTTAAATAACAGAAACATGAAAGAGCATAAGTATGAGCAGAAAAGGAAAACCAAGAGTACTTAAACTGCACCTATACAGTCGTCAGCATCTTCTGCAGTGCTGTTGTTCTTCAGCCTACAACTCGGCCCAGTCCACCTCAAACTAAATACAGTGTTATCTTGTGCTATGGAGTAGGGGACTGATGAAACGTGAAACATTTTTGTGCAAGAAATTAGATCTGTTGCACTGTAGAGATATAGGGAAGAGTCCGCAGCATAAATGAAATGGCCTGGTTTGGTAAGGCATGCTATCGGGGATATATTAATTGAGCCTGCAGTGATGTTCCTGTGTGTGGAGCAGCTGAAAATGCTGAAGTTATAAAGATTTTCGAAACTAAAGGGAGATGCAGATAAGTTTAGTATGGGGAGCAGTTGTAGGAAGCAGCCATCCACTCGAGATATTATGATCAAACGATCCTCACAATCTATAGACTCTATCAAAAACTTCACTGGAAATGGAGGTTGCAGGGTGGCGTTGAGAAGTGGAAAAGGATTCTCCAAGGCAGTTTCTCCCTTATCAGTGCATAAAAGCTCAAATCCGGGGTAGCCACACTCTGGGGGCTGGATGTGTTTCAGTCGAAATGGGAAGGAGATTTCAGGGCCATTATTCCCACATTTTCTGGGCAAGCATTCATTGCGATCATAGCTATAGCCATAGCCCAAAGTCAAAAAGAGCACAAGAATGGGAAGATGCAGGAAATAGCCTTTCATTTCTGGAGATGGATCAGAGAATAGAAACTATAGCCAGTATTTGTTTCACTACCAAGTCTTATAGACTTAGGCTCTGTTTGGAAAATGGTTGTTAGCTGTTAGCTGATTGTATTAATTAGAGGGTATAACTAGTTGATAACAGTAACTTTTTCAATTTTAGCATTTTGTAGTTGCAAAAAGCTAATTAACCAAACATTTATATTGATATTTTAACTAAATTAAACAATTAATAGTGGTCAAATAAGCTAAAATTAATCTAGCTAGATTAGCTTATGATCAGGATCACTCTATATATTGGGACTTGATCCCTCCTGACTCTATCGTTCAGTTCTTAGCTTAATATATTGGCTACGCCATTTAAAAAAAAAAAATAAAATTAAAATTAACCTATAGGTCAAATTTTTACCAAACAGGACCTCCATCTTCCTCTCTCCCCTGCCATTCTTTAATTTGTGCATCCATCTAGCTAGGAGTAGGATGAATTTTCTGCATGCTAGCTGCCACCAGACATACATGTCAAATTAATGTTGTCCCTATTTATTTATCGACCTAGTAATGCAGCTATTTTTTTTTATAGACCGTCATTACATTTTCGAAAAATAAGGTGCTAAACTTGACAACATCCACCAAACAATCCTCAAGCCACCAATTAGTGGACTTGGCCCTACATTGGCCTCCGCCCAACAAGACTCAACTTTGGTATTGGAAGGAAAATTAATATCATCATAGACAGAGTATTCAATATTGGCGTGCGGACCTAGCTTGAATTGTCCAGGCCAAGAAAGACTTTTAGACTTACAATTGATAAGTGAGTGATGAGTGAGTGAATGCTTTATCTATCTTTAATTTTATCCTCTATCTGCAACTGCCAGCAATTTGCTTCCTTAGCTTCTTCATCTTCTCTAAACTACTCTAATAATTAATAGCATCCAGTAAAGAGTAGAAGAAGAAGAAGAAGAAGAAGATGGGAGGAGTTATTAGAGTGTGCATGATTGTAATGAGTTTGGTGCTTGTGTGGTGTGCCACAACCACAAATTGCAAATCATCCCATTCCTATTCCCACCAGATAAACATAAACAGCAACTGCACTTCTTCTTGTGGTGCCATTGAAAACATAAAGTATCCTTTCCGATTAGCCGGCGATCCCAGCTCATGTGGCCTTCCCGATTACCAACTTTCCTGCGTAAACAACCGCACCATTCTACATCTCAACTCTAACAAGTCATTTTTGGTAGTTTCCATAAATTATGAAAGGCTTACAATACGACTTCTGGATCCTGGTCTTGAAAAGATTAATCACACCAACTTCTGCTCCCCAGCTTTCCCACGTTATACTCTAACGATGGCCGATGTACCCAAACAGTATTCATATTCCATCCACTCCAACTATCGTCCATTCGACTCCATGGCTGTGATGAACACTCCGGTGATATTCATCGGGTGTAGAAACCCAGCAAAATCCCCCTTATATGTGAAGATGGCGGGGTTGTGCAGTAACAACACTACTACTTTGTCCTACTCCCACTCTTACGTCTTAGATGGGGGTATTATAGGAGAGTTAGAGAATTCATGTAGCATCACAGCGGTTGCTTGGTACTCATTATCTAGACCTACACCATACAGATCCGATGAAGAAGAAATTGGTGACGCACTGGCTTCGGGGTTTGAGCTCTTCTGGTTTCGTTTCAACTGTACTAATGAAGAGTGTATAGACGGATCATCTGATCAGTACTGCTTCATTGATTTTGACCACATCGGCGCATTCATCACCTGCACCAATGATACTCACAATAATTATTGGACTCCCTGCGATCTCTTACATTTGCCTCATCATTTAGACTTCAACTTCAATGATCATCACTGTAAGTAGCTACATTTCCTCACCACACCAGCAATACATTAATCTTTAATTTATGGAATAAGGTTCAAATTGGCCCTGAACGTAACCTGAAAATGCAATTAGGCCACTGAACGAAAAAAAAGTGCAAGGCAATTAGGCCACTGAACGAAAAAAAAAAGTGCAATTAGGTCATTGAACACTAAAAAAATGTGCAATTAGGCCACTGAACTCTCCAAACGTATGCAATTTTACTGGATAGCAGGTTACCATCAATTTTAGCAGGTTACCTGCTTACGAGGCAACTTAGTTGGCATTTTTAATAATTTTTAAATAATTTTTAATAATTAATTTTAATAATAAATTTTATAAAAAAATGGAAAAAATTAAATAAAAAATAAAATAAAGTCGTTTTTATTTTTTTAAAATTTTTTTTAATAAAAAGTTATTATTAAAATTTATTAAAAATGCCAACTCAGCTACCACGTAAGCAGATAACCTGCTAAAATTGAGGGTAACCTGCTATCAGGTGAAATTGCACATTTTTGGAGTGTTCAGTGGCCTAATTGCACTTTTTTTTTGTTCAGTGGCCTAATTGCATTTTCAGGTTACGTTCAGTGGCCAATTTGAACCTTATTCCTTAATTTATTTAATGAATTAAATTAAATTGGATCTTTCCCATCCTTTCTTTTAGTTTCAATACTAAACCCATTAAATTAAAATAAATTATACTGTAGGTGGTTTGGGCCTGCTAGGACGGGGCTAATTGTTACTCTGGTTCAAAAATGATGTATTTTCAGTTAACATATGATGTATCTTTAATTAACATACGGAGTATTATTTATAAGCACATATATATTCTGTTACCTGAAACCAATTACTTGTAGATACATAATTTGAATGTTATTTTGGATTAAGAGTCACTTACCTTATCATTTTGAATTAAGATGTGGTTCATGATATAATTTGTCAGGCAGGGCTGGGCAAATTAAAATTAATTCCCATCGGGTAGTGCTACACTTCTGACATGAATGAATTAATATTAGATATTGCAACATGAAGTCCAGAATAGGAAAAAAAAAAAAAAAAAAAAGCACTTGTCCATTTGGTTGCATTTTTGGAAGAAGAATTGAATGTCCAATCACAACTCCTATATGCTAACACTGTTTCTCATTGGATTATATAATGCAGGTAGTCTATATCAGTTGTGGATAAGTAAGTTCACTACCCTCCATTTCTCCATATACTCTTTTCTCAGATACTTAATAATTAATATGCTCATTATTTTGCTTCTTTTTTTTTTTTTTTTTCCAATTAAATCACAGATGACCGTCCCACATTCATTGGTAAGATTATATTCTCTCCATAAAAAGCTGTGTTGATATATTATTGATGTTTAATTTGATCCTACCTCCTGCTTTTTTAATTTAATTTAATTCTTATTTTTCTTTGCAGTATTCATCTCATATGCATTGGGAAGATTTAGTTTGGGTTTACTATTCCTAATCAGCATTGTAGTGTATAAACTACGGCGGCGCCACTTGTCAGCTTATGACACCATTGAACACTACCTAAGCGGTCCAAACAACCTCATGCCGATAAGGTACTCCTACTTCGAGATCAAGAGGATGACAAATAATTTCAAGCACAAATTAGGTGAAGGAGGCTATGGAACTGTGTTCAAAGGAACACTCAGAAGTGGCCCTTTTGTTGCTGTAAAGATGATGGGCAAATCCAAGGCTACTGGCCAGGAATTCATTAGCGAAGTCGCCACTATTGGTAGGATTCACCATACTAATGTTGTGCGCCTCATTGGCTTCTGTGTTGAAGGCTCAAAGCGTGCGCTCTTATATGAATTCATGCCCAATGGTTCCCTAGAAAAATATATATTCCCAAAAGAAGAAAGCATTTCATTGAGCCATGAGAAAATGTTTGACATCTCCCTTGGAGTGGCTCGTGGGATTGATTATTTGCACCGGGGTTGTGACATGAGAATATTGCACTTTGATATCAAGCCACACAACATTCTTCTTGACGAGAACTTTAGCCCAAAAGTGTCTGACTTTGGACTAGCGAAATTGTATCCCGTTGAAGATAGTCTTGTGTCACTCACTGCAGCAAGAGGCACAATGGGCTACATGGCACCGGAATTGTGCTACAGAAACATAGGCGGAATTTCGCACAAAGCCGATGTTTATAGCTTCGGGATGTTGCTAATGGAAATGGTAGGGAGAAGAAAGAACTTGAATCCATTTGTGGAGCAGCTAAGCCAGATTTACTTCCCTTCATGGGTTTACGAGCAACTCAAAGATGGGAAGGACATTGACATGGGCGATGCAACAGAGGAGGAAAAGAAGGTTTCAAAGAAGATGATAATAGTGGCACTGTGGTGTATACAGATGAATCCTAGTGAGCGTCCAAGCATGAAAAAGGTAATAGAGATGCTTGAAGAAGAAGATGTTGAATTGCTAGAAATGGCGCCAAAGCCTTTCTTGTCTCCGGATGAAGTGCCGACTGATGAAAATTCCTTTCCAAATGCTCAAAATGTGGAGTCGCCACTGTTATCAGATAATCCGGTGCGCTCCTCTAGTTTTGAAGTGTGTGAGAACTAAATAATATATATGCAGCTTATTACAATGCTCTGTTCTGTAATATTTTTATTTTAGTTTGTTTATTATATTCCTGAAAGTACTTGAACAACCTTGCTTAGCCTAAATAAACTAAAATAATAAAATTTGTTTTCTGTATCATGCCCTTATTTGGCTATTTGCTATGCACATTAACTTTAATTAAAGGTTAAAAAAAGCCAATGTAATTGTTGGTTTGGTAGGATTACGCCTAACATAAATACGAAAATTAAATACTAAGTAATTTGTGGAAAAAAACAAAAAAAAAAACAAATATACACGAGAATGTTTTACGTGAAAACTGTAAGGTGAAAATCACGAGTTTTTTTTATTGATGTCAAGTTAAAATTCGCTATAGGTTGTTTGGAAAATGGTTTATCAGTCAAAATTTGGTTTCTTTGAGAAACTTTAGTTGTTTGATTGGTCAAATAGCTGTTAGTTAATAGCTATTAGATGATTGTGTTAGTGAGTTTGACTAATTAATAGTATTAGTTGATTGTAGAAAAGTGTTTGGTAAATTAGGTGCTAGCTGATAGCTGATTATATGCAAAATGACTTTCTCAAAAATTTGACTGAAAAAATTACTTTGAGCAGCTTTTTGAATTTTAGCATTTTGGAGCAATAAGTTGTTATAAAAAACTAATTAATCAAACACTCATATTGATTGTTTAACCAAGTCAAACAGCTAATGGTGATCAAATAAATCAAACTTGGATAACTATGTTACCAACTAGGGTCATTGATTTTTTTAACCATGTCAAACATCTAATAGAAGTCAAATAGTCAAAATTGACTGATAAGCTAACTATGTTACCAAACAGGGCCAACATGAGTTTCTAATAAACAACTTTTTGGCTTAGCTTATTGATGTCATAAATTGAAAAGCTACTTTGAGTAGTTTGTTGATACCAATTTATTGCATTTTTGTTTTAAAAGTATAATTTACCCTTAATAGTTGTTGGTTATTGTAGTGTTTATATTTATTCAACTAGCATTCCATTCCTATGATGCACGGCCTAAAATTTAAAATGATAGAATAAAGCAATTATGCCCGAAAGTCATTGCTAAATCTTTTTTTTTTTTTTTTTTTTTTTTTTTTTTTTACTTTAGCAATACTAAGTTGTTTGTTCATATTGAATGTCATAACATTCTACCAATAGATATTAGAAACTATTGTATTATTTGATAATGTGCAGAATTTGGAAAATATAAAATTAAATATTTGAAATGCACTTTCAATATAAACATAAATATTGAAATTACAAAGATATTAAATTGTAAGAGTTAATTCTTTTTTTTTTTTTTTGTGTGCTAGATTAATAGGTAGCATTCCATTTTAGTCTCTTTTTTTTTTCAAGACATCATCTATTGGTCCTATCATTATTTTTGCATGACAATTTTTTGTCCTTCGTCAACAAACCTATTTAAATAACGTTAAATATGATGATATTTCAGTCTATTCAGTTCTAAGTGTTAATTACTTTTTTGGTCCCACATTTATATGTGTCATTACACTGTTGCAGAGGCTCAGGTTGTGGAGGCATGAATTGCAATTGAAGAACACATGAGAGTCTAGTAGTGAATTAAATATTTTTTCAAAATAAAAATAAAAATAAAAATAAAAATATAGCGGGTCAACCACTTTGTATTAAAAAAAAAAAGATTGAAATGTCATCATATTTAACGTCATTTAAACATTTGTTAAAGAAAAATATTTTCTTTAAGTAGTGAATTAAATATTTTTTCAAAAAATAAAAATAAAAATAAAAATATAGCGGGTCAACCACTTTGTATTAAAAAAAAAAAAGATTGAAATGTCATCATATTTAACGTCATTTAAACATTTGTTAAAGAAAAATAAAAAATGGTTATGTATCAATAATACTATGACCAATAAATGATGTTATGAAAAGAATTACTAAAAGTGAAATGACACATATAAATCTGAGACCGAAATTAAAATTAACTCAAATAGTAATATTCATAATCCTAATAGATTACAAATTATTAGATACTTCTTAAATAAACAACATTTGTAGTGAAATTACAACACTAATCAAAACCACCACATAGCATGTGTCATAATTCTTCCATTGTCTCCCTCACTATTATTAGATTTCTTTTATTTTCATGTATTTTACAAAAATAAAAAATAAATAAATAAAAATTGTACTACAAAATTCCATAGTGCACTTAGCAGAATACACACTTAACACGGACTAGCATAATATTGGATCTTTAGATTTCTTTTATTTTCATGTATTTTACAAAAATAAAAAATAAATAAATAAAAATTGTACTACAAAATTCCATAGTGCACTTAGCAGAATACACACTTAACACGGACTAGCATAATATTGGATCTCTAAAACTAAAAGAATTCCCAATTGTGCAAATTTGTAAAAATAAAAAATAAAAAATCACCAAAAAAAAATGCTGAAACTAAAATCCTTAATCCACTTACCATTTACCAACATTCAATCTTTAACTATCACAACTTTCTCATAAAAACAAATAATTGTGAAACCACAACAAAATTAGACATATGAGATAAAATATCTGTAGATTGATTGAAACTAGAAAGCAAGGCACAAAATCATAAAGACATATACAATCAAACGTATAAATTAATGGAGTAATTGGCACATGATTTTGACCCAAGAAGCACCACAGCTTCTGGGCCGATCTCATGCCTAACCTATGAGTAGTTATGTTGTGCATCCGTATGCACTATGCATGGTGCATACGGATGCAAAAACGACGTCGTTTTATTAAAAACGCACGTCTCCCCTTAAAAAAAATTCAGGTTCGATTCCCAGCAACAACATTATGTTGTTCATTCATTCTGGAATTTTAGTTCATAGATTATGGAATTTTAGTTCATTGATTCTGGAATTATAGTTCATCGATTATGAAATTGTAGTTCATCGATTCTGAAATTTTAGTTCATAGATTCTGGAATTTTAGTTCATTTATTCTGGAATTTTTTGTTCATATATTAGATTCTGGAATTTTAGTTCATAGATTCTGGAATTGTAGTTCATATGTTGTTGCTGGGAATCGAACCTGTTTTTTTTTAAGGGGAGACGCGCGTTTTTAATAAAACGACATCGTTTTTGCATTCGTATGCACCATGCATGGTGCATACGGATGCACATCATAATTTGCCCTAACCTATTACAATTGTTATATCATGCACCCGGGCGCACAATGCATTGTGCGTCCTAAAAATCATCTGTTTCGCATGTATATAATTGTATAGTAGAATATATATAAACTCTTAACATAATACACATAAACTTTTAACATAATATACATGAACTCTTAATATAATACACATAAACTCTTAGGTGCACGGACAATATAATTTGCCAACCTATTAGCATTTCTAATTACTATGACTATTGACTAGCTGAGCTGGGCATCACCTATGCCTTTAAGTTATGCCAATTGCAATTTGAGCCCAACGCTGCAACATATAATTGTAGGTGTTGTAACCCATTAGCTCATTGCTCAAAGAATAGCTCATTGATCAAAGGTAGTAGAAAGAAAAGTAATAGAGAAGGAGAGAAGAGAGTGATATCATTTCATTCCCATGGCCTCATCTTACAAAAGGATTACACACATATATAATATAGAGTAATAATGGCATACATAATGAGACATTAATATGTCTGTTACAAACGTTACAAAATAATGGCCACCATTAATATATATAATTACAACACTCCCCCTTGGACATTATTTGTACATGATCTTGCCTCGTTAAAAACTTGCTAGGAAAACCCTGTGGGAAAAACCTATACAAGAAAAGAGTACAAGGTATAGTATATTTAAATATATTCATGTCTCGTTAAAAACTTCACTAGGAAAACCACATGGGAAAAACCTAGTTTGAAGAAAAGAGTACATGATATTTGTAAACTCATATATTGTACTGATTGCCTCGTTAAAAACCTTAACTTAAGAAAACCTCATGGGAAAAACTTAGTTAAGGGAAAAAGAGCACAATTATAAGCCTTCAAGGCATAATCTTCAGGATATTTGGGGTTTGTTTACTTAAGTATTTATATACAACTTCCCCGTTAATATATCATACTCATACCTCATTAATAAAAAACCACATGGTATGTATATGCTGCAAAAGGTATAACTATTAGTCATTTTAAAACTCAATCTACGGGATTGACTCGATTGAATGTACTTCCTGTCTCCCCCTGAAGATAACAATCTTCAAATTCTACATTGCTTGTAAAATCATTGTTTCTAAACGGTGTAGAGATGGGATATGGTACAATTTTCAGGATTGTCATTAGAATTTATCATATTTTCTCATGATCATCTAGACCAATAAAATTATTTATAGTTTATATTTTGTTGCTCCCCCTAAATATAATAATTTTTCTTTACCTACACATATCAATCTTATGGATATTTTGTAGGTATACATTTGCTAACTTGTCACTGGAGCAAACCTTCTGAACAAATATTTTATCACTCTTCTGGAGTTCATGTGGATCAAGGTATTTTATATCATGAAAAACTATATACATTTTTATCTGTAACAAGTATGATGACTTCATGCCAAAAAGCATCAATACGTACCTTGATTTTGCTATTCGTTATCTTATCTCATAACTTAACATCATCAAACTCTTTATATATTTCATTGATGTTTACCCCATAAATATTGACTGAGATAATAAATAAGTCCATTATCAACTCTTTATTGAGCACATAATGGTACATATTATTCCTTCTATATGAGGATAATAACCCCATTCGCAACTCTCTAAAAAGTAAATAATGGCACTTAAATAAATCCTCATTTTGGGAATTATAAATCCATTAGGGATTTTCAAGATAAACTAGAGGATATATTTAGGATATTTTCAAGAGGAAACAATATTTGAGTTTCCCAATCACATATAACATTACTAGGCATGTTTATGATAATATATTTTCATACTTTGTTATGGGGGAGAAAATACATTTAAAAGATCATAGTTAGTAACTTACTAACTTTTATACTTCTTATTTTGTGATTTTCATTCATCACATTTTGAGAAAATC